TAATAACAATTCACTGTAGTCATATTGTGAATACAGATTTCAAGGTTCATATAAAACCAGGAATACATTTTTAGATCAGAAATTCCCATTGAGACATTCAAAAGCAACGTAATTCCGAAAAGCAAATTTTGGAATGATTTTCAGCAGCTGTACAATCGTGCTTACAGTAGTAACAAACAAACGGATTAATCCATTATTGGCTAATACGTCAACACTAGGTCATCAAAACGGAGTATTCTAGAGTCAAATACTGGATCGATTACAGAGTTAGAAAGGGATTGCGTTATCAGGTGTGTATGAGAAAAATGTGCGGTAGACTAACGTGATGACTAATAGGTTAAAAAACAAACAGGTCAAAAATAATTATAAATGTCATGCATTTAGGTCCCTTGACAAATTTGAACAAAGCAAGAACAACGACGTTTGCTGAATAAAGTGAGCTCATTCCATATTAAATTTGTTTATTTGATATAAAGCGCACAGTGATACAGTATTATTTAATTGATTACGTTTCGAGCATAAATTATTGCTCATAATCATATCAATGTGAGCTCATCTTATTACATGACCTTTCATTGGCTGCAAACAGCCTGCAGTTTAGAGGATGTGTGGGTAGTAATAATGGCACAACATACTTTAAATATGTAGGGATAAATAAAGATTCGAAATCCAGGATTAACAATAAGGTAGTGAGTCAAGGAAATACAGGAATAATAATTACAAATCCTAGTATCTCTGACAATTCATATCTGATGAGGTAAGAAATTCTGAAGCTGTGGAGTGGGGGAGGCAACAAACGAAAATCAGTGTAAGAGAAGGGACTGTCCAAGAGCTAATGGGTTGCGTAATCACGTGAAGAACTAGAAAATCGCTAGGCGATTAACAATCAGTAAGCACTTAATGAAGAGAAGATGCAATACATATACATTCAAAAAATTATATACTGTCAACACGGTAAAGAAAGGTTTATTACAGTCTCTTTCTGAGTACAGAGGTCATGTTGAAAACGCTTGATAGTGAGAATTCCCGCAAACCGTAATAAATATGGCGTTCTTTGTTTATTGATTATCCTGAAGGATTGAGAAACATCTATTTGATGTCCTGTTTCCATCATTTCAACTACAGGCTGTTTGTATTTGATGAAAGGCCGTGAAATAAAATGGGCTCATTTTATTTTGAAAATGTTTTTGTTCTTGCATTGTTCAAACTATAATTATTATCAACAAAGTAAAGTATTGTGAGAATTTTGATAGGAGACTGAAGCTAACACGTTAAGATAGAAGTAAAACTTGGGCACTGTAGCAGATTGTAATTGCATTGTAGTCTGTTTATTAGAAATGTCACTTACTCAGTCAAACAGTATTATTTACTGGATAACGTTTCGGACACAATTTTTTATCCACATTTATATCATGTAACTCCACAACTTTGAGATATGGTTTATATAGTTTTAATTTTCTCTCCTTTTTTTGTGACAAGGATAGTAGAATTTTCCATATATATGGGAAAGGTGCAGAATCATTTATGTTATATGTATTTGATGTTGATTCGATGAACAAAGATTCAGTTATCAATCTCTTCTTCCACCCAACTTAATTTTTAATACTGTTGTTTTGTTCCACCCTATTGTGTGATTATGTGTAGTAGTGTGCATAGTTATAGCTGAACTTTCCCTTAAATTTCTTATCCTAGAATGATCTACTAGTCTTGATTTAGCTAAGTTTTTGTGCTCTGTTATTCTAATTGACCTCTGGTCGACTACTTTGACCTATGTAGTTGACCTCGCAATCATTGCAAGGGATTTGGTAAACCATATTATTTTGTTTGATTACGTCAGTAGGATCTTTTAACCTAAAAAGCTTGTTTCTAAGCGAGTTTGTTGGTTTAAATGCCACTTTAATCCCAGCCTTATTAAGAATTCTTCGTTACGCTTCGGGCATATCTTCTTTATATGGTAACACAGTGGAGGCTTTGAATTCACTTAAGCCTGTCACTATTATTACTATTAGTACTACTACTGGGAATACTTTTCTTTCGAATTCTTATGAATTTATCTATAAATTTCGGTGAGTAATTATTGAAACAGAAGGTATTCTTAATATGTTCTACTAGTAAACCCTTTTTGCCTTATTACTTAAGCATTTAACTAAGCCTACTTTAACTGAGATGGGTGACATGATTTTAAGTCTAAGTAGCGATTCAAATGGGGAAAGTTTCCTACAGACACTTGTCTCTAAACTTCCGTCTTGTTTTCTTTTGACCTTACAATCGAACATTGCTAGCTCACCTTCATCACTTTCTAAGTTACAGGTAAATTAGATTGCATTCACCATTGAATTTGTGTCAAGAACCCACTGATGTGTTCCGATTTCAGTACTGTAAATGTGTCATCTACGTATCGGAACCACATCTTTGGAGTAGAACTAAGTGTTAAGATGCGGGAAAGTAAACCGCTATGTAAAAATAAAAAGCAATAATCAGCCAGTAAGAATAAGATGAATAATGAAGCAATAAAGAGACTCAAGGAAGCATTATAAACACGAAAAAATAATAGAATGAACGTACCTATTCTGTAAGCGGGGCTCAGGCTTTAATTGTTAGATTACCAAAGCCTCTGCTATACCTTAGTGACGAATCTGCACTCCTTTCCAGCCGCTTGGCTTGACTTTTTACAAGATTTTTAGAGAAGGCTGTAGGGACCAAATAATGCAAGATGGAACTGTTGTTTAACTCAGGTTCTGCTCTGGACAACCAAGCAGGATAGTGCTCAGAAATGCGCGCTTTATGCGGCACAAATAACTAACTGCACAAGAACACGTAAACTAATAAGCACATTGATGTGACCCAGAGTGGCAATTTGTCTTTCATACTACCTTGAATAAACTACCAGCTGGAGAAGACCATTCGCAGTTCGCTGGCATAGAATACTTTTCTGAATACTTTGGAGAGATGATTCTTCAGTATTTCTGCTACTTTGTCGCCTCTGAATTCAATATTCATGAATAAGGTCTTCTGAGGAGCAGTAAGAACTTGTTCTTGTCGTTGTTTTGGCTTCATGTTTTTTCTATGGACGTCGGGGGATATTGGCATTCTGAAGTACTTTCCTAAGGTATTCCAACTCATCGTCTGATGTGTCATTTATGCTTATTGTCGTGTAGAGTGAATGAATAAGGTTCCTTTTTCGGTTCAGTGGTACCCAGCTTTGGAAATGAGTATATTGTCCATTCCATGCTGGCTTTCCATAGATTGACCTTTTTAAGGAGCTAGCTATCGGGTCTCCTTTTTATCGAAATTTCACTACAATGAAATGCTGATTTGTTCTCAACTTCCATCTTAAAATCGATAGGGGGTTGGCGCTCTTTGAATTTAAGAAGAATGGCATTAAGATCAGTTTTCTCATCGCAGACAATGAAGGTATCATCCATATGTCTTCTATATATATGAAACTGATCAATAATTGGACGTAGTATGGTATTTTCCAGGCTAACCATAAAGCAATCTTCTAGAAGAATATCCAGTGATGATCCCACGGTTACTCCATCTTTTTTTCGATAAATTCGTTATTGAACTTGAATTACGCATTAAAATTACATCGTGGATGTAATTCCTCTAGATAATGAATTGGTATACCAACTTTTAGATTATCAGTTTCAATGTACTTACATAGGAAACAAATAAAACATTTGTGAAGAGCGAAGTGACATTCTAAGACAGCATTCGTTTTCCAGATACTCCGAGGCCATTTATTTCTTCGACGAAGTCAAATGAATCAAGTGAAGTATACCAGATAATCCAGTTTCTCACTAGCTGAAGAATTTTAGTCAGTCACTCAGTAATCCCGTGATATGGGGAATTATTCACATCTAAAATTCGAGGAAGCGGAACATCCTTTTTTGTGTACTTTCGGGGAGTCATAAAGTAATGATAATACTAACAATAGTACTAACTTTGTCGTGGTCTTAATCCTTCCTTGAGTTTCTTTTTTGTTTCATCATTTATCTTACTCTTACAGACCGAGTATTGTTACTTGTTTTTATTTTGTGGTTTACTTTCCCATACTAACATGTTAGTTCCAATCTCACAATGCTTTACTCCGATTGTTGATTATAATTATAATTTTTGTTTTTGACCTGTTTGTTTTTTAACCTATTAGTCATCACGTTAGTCTACCGCACATTTTTCTCATACACACCTGATAACGCAATCCCTTTCTAACTCTGTAATCGATCCAGTATTTGACTCTAGAATACTCCGTTTTGATGACCTAGTGTTGACGTATTAGCCAATAATAGATTAATCCGTTTGTTTGTTACTACTGTAAGCACGATTGTACAGCTGCTGAAAATCATTCCAAAATTTCCTTCTCCGAATTACTTTATGTTTTTAAGAGAATACATTGTTTAGTTCTTCAAAGCATTGATATTTTACTTCGGACAAATCATCACAATTGTCAACATATGTATAAATTCTTGTCCCATGTATCACAAACTCTTGAAACATAGGTCTACTGGTGCGTGTACCTGTCTCTCCCTCTGTCACGGCCTTGAACCTCACTCTACTTGTCTGAGTCAGCCGTAAGGTATGATTAACCCTCTTACAGTATATATGACTTAGTTGAGTTTATGAATATATATATTTCTGTGTATATACTAGTTTTGTTTAATATCGAAGTCAGTCTGTCAGAGTCGATGGGTAGCCTTGCATTACTGCCTAACGGTCCAAGTACTCACGCCGGCCCCATCAAGGTAGAAGGTACGAAAATGAACGATAAAAGAACAAGGAAGAAAGTGGTCAAAAATAGTAGGAAGTCGTATAAATAGAACAAGAAAGAATGAAGCACTAACGGAAATTCAGTTTTTTTATTGCCATCCGAGTGGATCATTGCGTAAGTACCTAGGAGGTATTTTTTGTTTTGACGGTATGGTTCCTTTCCCTTTTTTGAAATTTGTCCATTTTACTGAAAGCATACATTTTTATCTTCGTTTTCGTTGATTTTCTAGCTTTCACCAGAGGAAAGACATTACTTTCTCCCGAGTCGATCTCAGTTAGATATATCATGTCAAAATATAATTGAAAAATTAAGCGAAGTTTTGGATTCAATTTTACAAAAATCAGCGAAAAACTCAGGTTCACACTCTTTTCAATCAGGGATACTTTCAGAACATTCCAAGTAAGTTTTTGTTGTTTTTATTGCTTCTTCTACGTATACTTTTATTAACTAGTCATGTTACTTATTTGTCTGCATTTAATCGTTTAATTTTCATTTATTGTTCTACTTGAGTTATGTAACTGTGAGCGTGATTTCTATAGAGGGTTACCACTTTCTTGATTAGAGCCTATGCTATTGAAACAACAGTCGAAATGTTCTGTAGAATAATCAGCCATCAAAAAGTGCAACCACTATCACACATTTTATTTGTGTAACCAAAGTAATCATGTTCTTACTTTTGTTTGCTGATGTGTTCTATTGGTTGGTATGAGTAGTTCGAAACTAATTACTAACTAGATCCTTTAGTTCATGATAGGTTGAAGTAATAAGTAATGCAACTCAGCTCGATGTACTTTTTTATTCACTAGTCTATCAGCGACATTTACTGTTTGGGAGCTTGTGATATTACCTGGTTGTCTGGGCCAAAGTAAGTTGTCTGGATTTTGAATCAGGGTCCTAAGGATCGAAAGTCAGGTGCTTAAACCACATAGCTATAAAATAGTAACTTACTTCGACTAATTGAAGCATTGTATTAATCTTAGGCCATTCATATTGCACGATAGAACATATCTTTATGTTGACCAGGAAGTCAAACACACTTTAATTTTGTGATTCGAGTGTTCTAATTTTGAAAATCTACGTGCCATAATACAAGTGAGAGTGAGAAGAGCTTGCTCATCTCTTAGAAATGATCTCATACGGCCTTGCATTTACATTGTATGCAAGGGAGTTCCTATTCACTCCTCTCATTTTATTGTAATGTTGCACAAACGGGAGAGAGCGAAAGCCAGTGTCCACCAAATTGGTAGCTAAATAGAATTAGCCATCTACGACTCCAAAGTCTAGAATAAGAAAATTGCCTAGGGAACCTACTTTGCTCAGCGACTAGCATACGAATGCATCATCTGATGTTGCTCCACTACTTTTTGAATGAAATTCCAAACCAAAAAACAGGAAGTTATACCTTTAGACAATCACCTGCCTCAGTCTAAGCGTCTGAGCAGTATCTTAGTCTTCATAAAACCTATCATGATGTAACACTGCATGTACCAATGTGGATCACCTTTGGTGCCGCCATGGATTTAGTCTAGCTGTAAAAGCCCGGATGTCACGGTCATTTTTGCGAAAAGTTCAGTCCTACTCTTTTGAAGTCTGACCTCTCCGAGTTGTGGTTCTTTAACGACTCTATGTATTCGATAACTGCAGTCTCTTTAGGACCGCTTAAAATCTGTCTAATCACCTTATGTCGCTGAGAGGCAGTGGGGTGTTAGGGTGTGATGAAGATCCCCGTGCACTAGCCGAAGTCGCTCTGAAGTAGTGGACAGGTTTTGTGAATTTTGTCTTAGTGGTTTCCTCACGTCTACTTCTTGTTGCCCCTTGAATCGATTTGAAGGAGCTAAGAGGCTGTCAGTGTACGACTCAGTACCATGAGATGTAAGATAGTTGTATTTTACTAGTGTCAGTCATTACCTCAAGGCTCCTTAGGGGGGGTCCGAGAAGTTATAAGGATAGGTATAGAATATGGGGGCTATAGTAAATTATAATTCCGCTTAAGTATCTCTGTTATAAGAACCAAACAATGAAACAATATTATTTAATGGATGGACGTTTTGACCACAGTTTATTGCTCATAATCATAAGTTCATCTGATCGTATCCAATAAACAAATCTGAGTGATTACGGTACTCAGTCGATTAATACCTACCCAGATATGGTTCAAAATGAAAACACTGGTTATCATGTCGTAATTTCTTTTTATCGTCTGAAAATAAATACAGCTGTACCATAAGCATTTTTGATCGCATCTTATGAAACTGACCATCTGATTTTCTTTTTGTTTCTTGTTCTACATCTTTTTCTGTTTTTAGCTTCAAAGTGTTATTTTTCATGGTATATTCTTTGATTCTCATGTTGTAGCAAGTTTGTATTTGAAATGAAACCAGGGAATAGAAAAATAAACCAAGGTAGGAAGACTTGTTTTTCATTGATCGCCATCATAAACCGAAGCTCCGAACTAATTCTTGGATATAATTCCTTCGCATACACGGCTTTGGTATCTCAAATATAGGATTCCTAACTATGGCTAGTGAATGTAGACTAAAGGTACTGTGATTTTCATCAAGAGTAGCGACAGGCTTCAATAATAAATCTTGATTTGGTTGGAACCTAGTCGCAGAGCGTCATGTAAATATTTAGCAATACAAAAGTTTCGGTCTCAATATCGTTTTGGTCATAAGAATCACAACCTATAATGAGTAGTATAAGACTTGGGCACTGTCGTAAAATATAATTCTATATTAGATTTGCTTACCTGATATATAACACACAGTGATACAGTACTATTTACTTGATGACGTTTCGAGCATAAATTATTGCTCATGATCTTATCAATGTAATCACACCACTTTTAATAATCGACTTTTATAGTCCTATTACCTCATATTCTTTGTTTTTATTGATAGTAAAGCTTTCCATATCTCTGGTATAGGTGTTGGATTATTCCTATTAAATATGTTGGATTTAGATTCGATGAACAAAGATTCATCTAATTATATTGAACTCAATTAGGTACGGTGGTTTTATCCCACCCTATTGTGTGGTTGTGCGTTAATACATCCATTGCAACAACCAAGTTCTCTTCTAGATTGAAGTCTGTCATTCTACATTTATCTATGTTCCTATGTTCTGCTAATCTAAGTGACCCTGACCGGCTAGTTCAACCTTTGTACTTGACCTCTTAATCACTGTAAGGAATTTGATTAGTTAGATTATTCTGCTTAGTTGGTTCTATCGGAGCCACACAAACCTTATCTCGAAGTGAGTGTGTAGGTTTAAATGCCACCTTAATTCCAGCCGTGTTGAGAATTCTACGTAAAGTTTCTGATGTTCATTCCTCTTATGGTAAAACACTGGAGGATTTGAACTACTTTCTACTCGTGTTGCCGCCATTATTTATATTCGTATTACTGTTATTATTTCTGTCCTTATGCTTTTGTACGGATTTCTTGATAAGCAGTAGATGATAATTATTAGTTATTAACGCATCTTTTGCGTGTTGCAATTACATATTCTGCAATCCAACCTAGCTAACTTCCCTTGTTTATTTTCTTCGTCATAAATGAATCAGATCTCTCCTACTACTAAGTTTACATGTGCGAGTAAACTGTCGATATGTTCTGATTTCTACACAGTAAATGTGTCATCTACATATCGCCACCCTATCTTAGGTACAGCTATTCATAAACAAATCTGCTACGACTGAGGATATTGGTGGTCCCATCCCTACTCCTGTTTGTCTACAGTATTTTTTCTTGAAACTTGAAGAATATAGAGGTCAGACAAAACTGTACGCCTAATATGATTTCGTCAACCGATATCTTGTTTGTATGAGTAAGTTCTCCGTCAATGTTTAATTGATTCCTGACTGCCTCCAGTGCCATACTGATTGCTATTTTAGTACAAAGACTTTTTTTTACATTGAAACTAACCATTTTCCATTCTGTTCTATATTTAGGTCATTAATTCTTAGTTGTAACTCGGTGAAATTGATTTGTGTAGAATTTGAACGGTTGCTGATAGAACATAATATCGATACATTTCATATGCTGAGGTAGTTTTTAAGTCAACCATAGATCGAATAGGATAACCTGGTTTATGAACCTTAATAGTATGGTAAATTCTGCGAGGATTATTAGTCTTCGGCATTAAATTAGACCATCTAGGCTCACCTAAACATGGTTTCAGTCGGCGTATCAAATCTGTTGTATATTTCTTAATATTATTCATGGAAGTGTTTATAGGTTTCTTGATCTCTTCAAATGGTCCAATTTGGATCCGATAGATCCAATTAAACAGAATAATCTAATTAATCAAATTCCTTACAGTGATTAAGAGGTCAAGTACAAAGGTTGAACTAGCCGGTCAGGGTCACTTAGATTAGCAGAACATAGGAACATAGATAAATGTAGAATGACAGACTTCAATCTAGAAGAGAACTTGGTTGTTGCAATGGATGTATTAACGCACAACCACACAATAGGGTGGGATAAAACCACCGTACCTAATTGAGTTCAATATAATTAGATGAATCTTTGTTCATCGAATCTAAATCCAACATATTTAATAGGAATAATCCAACACCTATACCAGAGATATGGAAAGCTTTACTATCAATAAAAACAAAGAATATGAGGTAATAGGACTATAAAAGTCGATTATTAAAAGTGGTGTGATTACATTGATAAGATCATGAGCAATAATTTATGCTCGAAACGTCATCAAGTAAATAGTACTGTATCACTGTGTGTTATAAATCAGGTAAACAAATATAATATGGAAGTATACTGAGAGGTGTGTGGCTCCATATCTGTTAGCTTATCTTTACTTTTCGCCATATTTTGCGATGTCATTTCTTCTCTCTATTTCTGCTTACTGTTGTATACCCGATACAAAAACATTGTGTTGACTTTGTGACTGTTTCCAGCATAAAAGAGTTAGGGCGGGGTAATTTAGCTACAACACTACGAAGTGCCACAAACCTTTATCAACCTCATTCAACAGCTATATGACGACGCTACATGTCAAGTGATTCACAATGGAAAGCCCAGTGACGCCTTTGAAGTGAAGACAGGAGTAAGATCAGATAGATGGCTAGAATAATGAGAATAAACAACAAGGAACTCACTGTGGCTGGCAACGAAGCAAGAAGCCATTGCCCAACAAGTATGCAGAAGAAAGTGGAGATGGATTGGGCATGAGGTGAGAAGACGGATTGGGGACATCGCGTGGCAGGCCAGGCTGTTGAGTGTAATCGAAATGGGAAACGATGAGTTGGGCGTCTGAGGTGATGATGGTGATATGGAGGTGATGGTGTGATGAAGAAATGAGAGCTTGTGAGCAGTTTTTGGAGTGAGGTTCAAAAGAGTGTAGAGTGCAGAGTGAAATGGTTATGTGCTACTGAAGCCCTATATTTCACTAGGAACCCAAGGGACAAATAATAATAATAATTTACGTTCTTTGTTTAAACTGACGTTTGGTAATATGTTTGTGTCGCATCGCAATCAATGGATAGTGCGATGTATTTCTGGCGAATCATAACGAGTATTATTTAATGCGCCTATTCAGGAAAGCTTTTGGGAAATTTAAAACTGAGTGGAGACCTGCTTGTTATCAGTTGATCTCTTACTTATCGTCTGTAAAGAATTTTGTTAACCATTTTCGAAATTATCCATTGTTGTGAGCCCAGAAAACTTTGATCACTCTGTTGAGCACGTTGCCGATCCAAGCATCTGTTTTGTGATTTCTATTCATCCCTGACATGGGGAAATCATCCGCCGTCATCTTTGCATGAGCATCTTCATATCTGACTTGGTTCACCTTACAGATTATAGCTTGTCATTATAACTTCAAGAAATTCATCTGCAAACAGGTCGGATATCTCATCTGACTGGTCCAAATCACTGATGGACTCACTCTTCAAGAAAGGCAAAGTCCTGTGATGACCACAGGGGAGTCAGTCTGCCAACTATACCCTTCATTCGAAAATTATTGGTCATCTGCGTAAAAATTGAGAAGAGCAGGTCCGGAAAAACTAGGCAATTTTTAGCTCTGATCTTGACTATATCGACTACATCTTCATTCTCCGTCAAGTCTTTCAACACAGGAGCACTTACGACCTCTCAACACTAGCTTTATTTCTGTACCTGAAGGTGGCTTTCAACTCCATCTACATGGGAGTTTATTGGTTATGTCTCACTGAATGGAGTGCTGGATAAGTACATTACTCTGTTGAAGGGTCTGTACTTGAATATCTGAGTGCATGTTAGAGTCAATGGTGAGTTGTTCACATTAAGTAGTGTCCATTCTTATGTAACTTTTCCGTAGATAAGCTCATGGAGTTTTTCCTCTCATCGTCTGTCTTTTCAACGACTAAACTGGTCACAGGAGAATTCTTAGTGGATTTAGAGGGCGCAAGTGGCATAGTCCTGTTAGGTGAAGACGCTGACAGGATGCAGAGTCTTCTAAGCACATTGAGTGGCAAGTTGAGAATGTTTGGGATGCATTTCTTATCATTCAAATGCAGATTCTTGGACGAGGACTGGTCCTCATTGTTACATTGTCTAACAAGGAATGAAGTGGTTGGGGATATTGACCACTTCACTTACCTGGGAAGTTCGATTAGCCCTGTTGGTCAAGGGATCGACGAAATCTCAGCACAAATACAAAAGACTCGACTGGCTTTCTCCAACTTTATGGTACCGCCGCGATATCCGACTGCCTATTAAGGGTTGAGTATACTGCGCTTCATTTCGCTTCTTTTTAATATCTGGCTTTGAAGCATGACCGTTAAAAGTAGAAGATATGAAGTGGTTACAGGTTTTTAACCTCAGGTATCTTTGTTGCGTTGCTCGCGCATAGTGGGATCATTATGTTAGCAATATCAAGGTCAGGTGAAAAGTACCAGGTAAGAAAAGCATGTTGATCGATAAAGTTGTGAACCTTTTAGCAAGTGAGGTGGCTTGTACATCGTGTACCTCGAAGTGCCATGCTAGAAGTTGGATCAGGTTGGGAGAAGGCTCAGGCTAGCCAGACCAAGCCGTAGCACCTATCTATGAAGTCTCTGACTGTTGGTTCGAGCCGTGGTTGAAGATACTGGGTGATATGGCTCTGAGTCGATCTTAGTGGGGAGATGTACCCACACATCATCTTAATGATCTAATCGAATTTCACTACTATCTCGTTCCTTCTTGTTCTGTGTTTACGACTCCCTCCCTTCTTGCCTGTTTTTTCCTTATTTCTTTATCTTTCACCTAAAGGCTTTCTCGCTTGATATGCTGTTATGACGTGCGTCAGCTTGTTTCGTTCCGCAGTAGTTCCAGGTCCTATGTTGACATTTTCTATCTGATCTAAATCTAGCTGTCTTGAATTAGGAGATGGAAACTGTTAAAATGATAATTTTTTAATTGTCAGTTAATCATCAGGTTGAAAGCGTCGGCTGTCAAATCTTTTATTCCCGAATTGCACGCCCGGTTTTATAATGAATACATCGTAGCCATAACTGCTTCGTGTATCGTGTGTACATGGTTTGAATTCTGTGATAGCCCGGAAATGAATATTTTCTTTCCACATATTGTGGTATATAGATTACTTTTTCTTGTTTCTTTCCCTAGGTTATATACAGTTGAATAGAAAGTAATGAAATAAAATGGATTCATTGTATTCCTCAAACCTTGTTTCTTAATCTCTAGTTTAAGATTTTGGTCACTAACTTGACAGATGTTTATTACCCTTTATTCTGTTACGCAAATTTTTGTATAATCCTATTGTATTTTTTTACTGTATATCATTTTATCGCCATTCTATTTTATTTATTTTAGATTAAAGATACAGCGGAAATCTGAAACTTCCTTAGTTTGCCAGACTGTCAAGAGTTCAAACTACAATTTAGGTACAAAAATTCATTGGACAACTAAAGATAAGCATGTTGGAGGTTTAGGATGGGTACCAAGTAGACATAGTCAATTCAAAAGTTCACGTGAAGCAAAGCATTTAGCAGGTGAAGAAAAACATGTAGTTACCGATGATGCTGAAATTCTTGAAGCACTTCCAGGTTTGGAGAAAAGTCGACTAATCGGTGATCATTGTGAGTCAACAAAATATGATAAAATGTGCTGAAACGTTTTCTTTGCTGGATTTCTGTCGAGTGAACGAGTAAATAACTGAAGAAAGCCAAAGTTAGGGTACAGCTTATACTCGTAAGTTTTTCACGTACATTCTGAAGAAATTGGATCATAAAGTTAGTCAATAAGAAAAGATCAGCATCGACAAATGGCAGAAATGATAAGTGTTTTCCGAGGAGGATTTCGGTGTGAAAAGCCAAATTTCAGAAGAATTAAATTTCTGTTAGTACTGTTCATATAAGAGACTTACTCATGTGTTACCTATCGTAAATCGACATGAAGTTAGTGCTGCCCAAAAAGATAATGAAAGCTATCTAGTTTACCTAGTTTATAGGTGGCAATAACACAAAGAGTTCTACTTTATGGGATACAGGTTACTTACAGCACCATATTTAACTTCATCTACTTCCATATTAGATTTGTTTATTTGATATATAGCGCACAGTGATACAGTATTATTTACTTGATTACGTTTCGAGCATAAATTATTGCTCATAATCACTAATGTAATCACACTTCTTTCGATATCTGATTTTATGGTCCTGTCACCTGATTTTTCTTTGTTTTTTGATTGGTAGTAAAGTTTTCCATATCTCTGGTATAGGTGTTGCGTCGTTCCTATTACATGTGTTGGGTGTGGATTCGACGAACAAAGATTCAGTAATTTATCTCTCTCCACCTAGCTATATCAGACTTAAGTACAGTGATTTTGTCCCACCCTATTGTATGGTTGTGTGTTAATGAATGTAATGCATTGGCCGAGTGTTTTTCTAGATTATTGATCTTATTGGGGTCTGTCGTTCTACGTTTAGCTAAATTCCTATGTTCTGCTAATCTAACTGACCCCGACCGGCCAGTTTCACCTATGTATTTGACCTCATAGTCATTACATGGGATTTGGTAGATTATATTATTTTGCCTAATTGGTTCTATCTGATCTTTTAGCCGACAAAGCTTACCTCTAAGTGAGTTCGTTGGTTTAAATGCCACCCTAATTCCAACCTTGTTGAGAATCCTACGTATGGTTTCTGATGTTCCTTCTTTGTATGGTATCACAATAGAGGTGTTGATTTCCTTCCTACTTATGTCGTCGCTATTATTTGTATTTATATTACTGTTATTATTTTGCTTCTTATGTTTGTGTGAATTTCTTAATAAAATAATGGGGATAATTATTAATTAAATTTTGAGGGGTTGTGGAGATTTGGAATTATTTCAAGCTGTTATTCATCACTGCTGAGGAGTCCCGTACTAGGACGAAACAGCTGTCCAGTGCTCCCAGGTTTCCTTTGTTCCTCCAACTGATGTCAGTCTTCGATGAATAACAACTTGAAATAATTCCAAATCTCCACAACCCCTCAAAATTTAATTGAACTAGTGCTCGTTGGTGACTAGCTTCGAGAAGTATTCCCGAAGTTCCAATGACAAGTCGTGACCGGTGGAGTCAAAGCCTGATGGCCGTGAGGACAAATACTCAACGATGACATTGGGTGGCGGTTCGCGCTATATCGTGAGCTAACAGAAGTTGGAAATATGGAGCATTGGATTCTGACCCAGTGGCTCAATGGTAACGCGCTGGTCGCGGAACCTGAAGGTCGCGGGTTCGATCCCTGCTGGTGGGGTCGTGGGTGCGCACTGCTGAGGAGTCCCGTACTAGGACGAAACAGCTGTTCAGTGCTCGCAGGTTTCCTTTGTTCCTCCAACTGATGTCAGTCTTCGATAAATAACAACTTGAAATAATTATTAATTGTTAACGCTTCTTTTATGTGTTTCAATTCCTTTTTTAAGTCCTTACAATGACTAGTGAGTTTCTTAGCTCTGTTATTTAAACATTTGACTAAACCCGCTTTAACTGACACTGGATGAGATGACTTGAAGTCTAGATACCTGTTAGAATGTGTTGGTTTTCTGTAGATGGTAGTATCTAAACCACCATCTGTCCTTCGTTTTATTCTGCAATCCAACATAGGTAATTCTCCTTGTTCATTTTCTACTTCGTAAGTGAATTGGATTGCGTTAACTACTGAGTTTATGTATGTCAAGAAACTGTCGATATGTTCCGTTTTCAACACTGTAAATGTGTCATCCACATATCGCCACCATATCTTAGGTGTCGGATTATATGTTCGTAAAGCCATATCTTCCCTACTATCCATAAATATATCTGCTACTATAGGGGATATTGGTAATCCCATTGCTACTCCTTCTGTTTGTCTATATATCTTTCCCTGAAACTTGAAGACTGTCGAGGTCAAGCATAACTGCACTCCTAACATGATTTCATCAACCGATGCCTTAGTTCTTTGAGTAAGTTGTGAGTCAGTATCTAGTTGATTTCTGACTGCCTTCAGTGCCATATTGATTGGCATTTTAGTATAAAGACTTGTTACGTCAAAACTAACCATTTTTTTCATTCTCTTCTATGTGCAGGTCATTAAGTTTTTGTTTTAACTCGTAAGAATTTACTAGCCTAGAGTTTGAATGGTCTCTGATAGGACGTAATACTGATGCTAAATACTTTGGTATCTCATGTGCTGGTTTGTTCCGGAAGTCAACTATCGGCCTAATGGGATAACCTGCTTTATGAACCTTAATAGTACCGTAAATTCCGCTAGGACTATCAGCTTTTGGCATTGAAGTAAACCATTCGGACTTACCTAGAGATGGCTTCAGTCGGCGTATCAGATCTGTTGTAGATTTCTTAATTTTATTCATGACAGTATCTATAGGTTTCTTAATCTCTTCATATGGCCCTGTTTGGATATGTTCATCCATTTTTTTAAGATAATCCGATTTGTCCATAACTAGTGTTGAGTTACCGTTGTCAGATTTAGCAATTACTACACTATTATTATTTCGTAGATTGTTTAAAGCTGAATTTTTCAGTTTCGTTAATTTTCACTGTCTTCTTCTTCAATCTCTCCTCGAAAGGCTTAAGCTCAGCTGAGATGAAAGTACTTGAAAAAGGACTAAACTTCAACATAACAGTAGATCATCTAAAACCAGAAGATGTCATACCTAGCATAGAAGTAGCATTAAGCTCGATGGATGTGACAACTGCTGAACAGGTTAGAGCGCAGTGTGCATTAGCACTAAAAAAAAACAAAAGAAGACACAGCGAAACTTAACGAAACTGAAAAATTCAGCTTTAAACAATCTACGAAATAATAATAGTGTAGTAATTGCTAAATCTGACAACGGTAACTCAACACTAGTTATGGACAAATCGGATTATCTTAAAAAAATGGATGAACATATCCAAACAGGGCCATATGAAGAGATTAAGAAACCTATAGATACTGTCATGAATAAAATTAAGAAATCTACAACAGATCTGATACGCCGACTGAAGTCCGAATGGTTTACTTCAATGCCAAAAGCTGATAGTCCTAGCGGAATTTACGGTACTATTAAGGTTCATAAAGCAGGTTATCCCATTAGGCCGATACTTACATAAAATGACACTAAATTTTGTGTATTTTAATTTTACCATTGGTGTTTGCGATACGCTCAAGTAAACTACTTCACTTTCATATATTGTTATTCTTCGAAGATTATTTAACGCTTAGCGACTCGGAAGGTGATGATGGTGACACTGAGAGGAAAGAAAGGGGAGGGTTTTCTTTAAAGAAGAAAAAACAAGGAACATCTTCATATCAAAGCAGTAAAAAGCGAAAGACAAAAGAGGATGATCCAACTTGGAGTATGCCTAGTAAGTCGACTTTTTATTTTCATTAGTTAAGTGCTTTACTAGTTGATTGTTTCTAGTGATTGGTCAGTTTGAGGACTCGTTTTAAAGGAGATATATTAGATAGGTGTACATTTCCTGTCTTCAGTTCCATCTTTGACCAAACAATGCGATTTCTAAGTATACAAGTTTGTGTGTTTGAAAACTAACCATATTTCGTTTCAAAACGATTGACCGTTACAGTTGTTAAAATGAAACGATCTATGAGTTTACCGAATCGTATCTACTGAACTAGTTGAGGCACGTACGAAGCCTTCTCTTACCTAAAAATTTGTTAAGTGGCTTAGTTAGTGCACTGGGAAAGAATTAATTTGGCCATATGAAAGAATGGTATCAATCTATGGAGGCGTTAACTTTTGGTTTGAACTGAGAAATTTACCTGTCAGTGTTTTGGAAACGTATATCATTCTGGTCAGGATCGATCGGGATGATTTTGATGCATTCATGCTTTTATTGCCCCGTAAGATTAAACCTTTTTTAGCCACATTCTCTTGTTCCCATGTCCTGATAGAGTTAATTTTACCGCTTTCATCTTCACACCGATTTACTTATTCAACTAAAATGTGTGACGGAATGAATCATAATACTAATATGTGATTTTGTGTTAACCTATGTTCTTTTGAATTTCGAAGTTTGTGGGGATTTAAAGATTTTTCAAGTTGGTTACTCATCATGGACTGGCATCAGTTGGAGAAATATTGGGAACCTGGGAGCACTGGATAGCTGTTTCGTCCTCGTATGGGACTCTTCAGCAGTGTGCACCCACGACCCCGCCAGGGATCGAGCCTGCGACCTTCAGGTTCCGTGGCCAGCACGTTACCATTGAGTCACTGGGTGGGAATCCAATGGGCCACACTTCCAACTTCCGTCAGTTCACGACATTGCTCGACGAAAATCCAATTATTTCGGTCTGAACGCAGGAAACAATTCAACGGAACCAAGCCAACGCGTTCCAGACAAGTTACTGAGTTCCCAAACTTCCTTGAGTCGCGCACGGTCAAAGATTATGTTTCAGCAGTATCAAAACACGACCTGACGTGATAAATCTGTGGTAGATTTGTGATAAGTCGGGACCATTGGATTGCGACCCAGTGACTCAATGGTAACATGTTGGCCACGGGACCTGAAGGTCGCAGGCTCGATCCCTGGCGGGGTCGTGGGTGCGCACTGCTGAAGAGTCCTTTATTAAGACGAAACAGATGTCTAGTGCTCCCAGGTTCCCAATGTTCCTCCAACTGAAATCAGTCCATGATGAACACCAACTATGTTCTTTTGTTTAGTCAAGATGAGTAGGTGTTGAAAAAAATTACTCAACTGGCAAACACTCACTATCTGCTAATAAGAACATCCTGTATTAGATCTCAAAGGATAGATTCATGATTTCATGAATGTCGTTATTGCATTTGCTCGTCTATGCCGGTGTTTACAGAATGACTCTCATCTCTTAACATCAAAGACAAGTTGTTTCTTTTTCAGATCACCCATGTAACAACTAGCAAGCCTTTTAAAGTAGTTTTGATAAGACAAAGAAAAGGAAGTTTGTGAATGCTTTCCTGAAATAAGACCTATCGGTAGACTACAGTTTAAGTACTGCCATTTTTACTTTTTGTATCTAATAATAAAATTTAACTGTACGTTGAATTCTTTGTTTGATTTTAGGTCCCACTCGTCGTAGATGTGGAGCAACTGCATGGAAGTCGATGGGTTCAGACCCTACTCTACCGAATTTGAAGACAAGTAAAACGTCATTAGTAGGTGTTTCTACTTGCCTCTTTGTCATATATGTCATCCTAATCACATAGTTTTAAGTTTGCTGAGAAATCAGTTCACTAGTGAAGAATTGTGTGATAAATAGCACTATGCTTTTGTTTCCCATCATTACTCAAGACTAGACTTATAGCTAGTGTATACTTTTACTACGTGCTTCAGTTGCTGATCATCAGTTGTTTTGAAGGCGGTCATATAGGAACTTTATGTTGTAGCGATCTTACGTCTTATGTAGATATTTGTCTATACCTCTGTTTTGACGACAGACTGCTAGACGAAATTTAAGGTATTGGTAGTGACGTTGGTATCTACTGTATACTTGTCTAGTTTACCTGTCTACCTACCAATAGTTTAATTTTAAATGAGTTTGAACTCCATTGGGATTTTAGATAAAAGCAAAACATCTTGATTGCGAACCAATCTTCATATTGGTTCAAGAACGATTTTTTAGCTAGATACGTAAACATTCATTGCGGTTCAAATAGCCACATCTGAACAAGATACTACACTAAACACTTGGAACATAAATTGTCTTGTTGATTTTCACCTCTGAATAGAAAATAAATTCCACGCAGCAACCACGTGCACATCTGTGTATTAGGCAGTAAGCCACATATGTTTCGTGAGGGTTAACGACAGTATCTGGTCGCCCAGACCTGTGTAGGTGGAGCAGGTTCCAAACCCCATAATCCAATAGTTGAAAGTCAAGTGCCTAGACCAGTTTCCCTTTCACCTCTACTAACATATGATCTCCCGAGCTATAGCTCATTGGTATAGATACTTGACTTTCAACCACTGGGTCACGGGTTCGAACACTGTTCCATCTATCGAGGTTTAGGCAGCCCGATAGTATTAGTAGTCTTCGCGCAATAGATGCAGTTCATTGCCTACTAAATGAACCGTGCACTTGGTTGCTGAGTTTTTTTGAAAATTAGTATGGTTTAGGTTGGCACTTTGATGCTAGTTTGTTTTGGTGTTAGATTTTAAGAATCACTGGAACTAGGTTTAATGCTCGTTGGTATAAATCAGAAAGATTCAGCTGAAAACTTGAGGGAGCTGTTGCTCTATTGAAGATTCGAATCTTATTTACTCAATGGTGTGTTGATAGACGTAATCACTAAGCTGTTGCTAGTTATACTTGATTCCAAAATTGTTTTAACTAAGGGGTGTACTCAAACTGTTATAATCCGATCTGCTGTCACATTGGAATATCTATTTCGGTGATTAGTGAATCGAATTGAGTTAACACGATAACATATAATTTATTTGTTGGTTAGTTCACCCTTTTATATTTCTATGATGCTCACATTTTTCGACTGTATTCATTTTATACTGGGTAATGATTGAAGGTGAAACGAAAATTTTGACCGTGGCTGGATTCGAACCACCAGGTTTCCGGCCCGATGCTCTGCCAACTGAGCTACAAGGTTCTTTATTCATTTTGTCAAGTATTCGTAGAAAATCAAATACGGTATTGTAATAATATTATAAACTTCAGGTACAATATTTCAGGTGATGGGGTTGAATAGGTTGAGGATTGGATGGGATGGATTATAGATGAAATATATTTATAAAATCCCAGTGATGTCGAAAAATTAATTCCTGAAGTTTCGCGACTTCGTGGAAATCGCTTCTTTAGAGAATAAAACCTATACAGGTTATCGAATATTTAAATAGCAAGTGGTGACGAATCAGATTACATTGTTCATAAATAACAAAATATGGGCATAAATGACGTTGCCATTCATCATTAATATATAATTCAAACACAGGCAATATAAAGACGTCGGCGCAGAAAGCCGTATGCTAATGAAGACCGGTCACTTCCGTTCCAATCAACGACGGGATAATACAAGCAATAACCTTAAAACTATGCCCACACAAGAGGTGGATATCGTGGCACAGTGCATTATAGGATAAGGCTTTGGCGTTTCAAGCGATCGGACCCGAGTTCGATTCCCGGTGGCAACAGCATCCACTGAAGGGCAGGTATATCCAGCTGACGAGTCCCGAACGGGACGAAATGAGCATCCTCGATTCTACTGCCAGCCAATATCCATCATTAATAAATGACATTGCTATCTGTTATTGAGAAAGGGAAACCTCGTCTAGGTAACCATTTCACTAATTACTAGCCGGTCCTAAGCCCGGGTAAAGAGGGAAGGTTGGGCATAGGGCTAGCAACCCTACCCCATAAAACAAATCTAACCGCTAAAGAAACTTCAAAGCACAAACGAAATATAAAAAATAATAACAAAATTATTCCTCGCTGGAATCGGAGAGGCGAAATGATGCCAGTTGGTGAAAGCCTTCGGGAAGCCAATTGGTAGGCCGATGTGTCTTCTCTTCTCTCGATGAAAGCGAAAGTAGACGTGGGGACATGGAATGTCCGAACAATGTTTGAAGCTGGCTGGTAAGGCTGCCCAGATTGCAAATGAGATGAAGAGGTATCACATTGAAGTGTTTGGAATTTGTGAAAGTAGATTGAATGTAAGTGGACTGTCAAAATTCTAATAGGCTACATGAATGCTAAACTGCGTGGAGCGGACAACACAGGAAGAGAACTGATCATGGGTGGAGAAGCACTTGATGAAATGAACGATAATGGAGAATTGTTTGTAGACTTCTGTGCATCTAACGATTTGGTGATTGTAGGCGCTGTGTGCAAAGACAAGGATATCCACGCAGCTGTATTGATTTCACCAGACGCCAGGAGAGACTAAAAATCAGATCGACTTCATTTCAATGTGAAGAAAGTGGAGATGGAGACGCAGCCTACTGGACACAAGATCAGATGAAGGAGGGGGGCATATGTAGGTTCACGATACTCACTACCTAGTGCGAGGAACCTACTTTCAAAATCAAGTTGAAAGCCTCCAATTCAAAGAATTTGGTGGTAGACGGCCACATTTCAAGTTCAACGTTACCCAGAACAGAAACTCCACTGAAGGATGAAACTGCGAAGGATATCTTCATGTAAACCAGTCATCAGAACAAAACGGGAGACATTAAGCAACATCTGTGGAGAAACCTGCATGGAAGAACACTGAAACTCTTTGAAGGCTATGTGGAAGGAAACCTGCATAACCGTATTCGGAAGGAAGAAGAAGTAGGACAAGAGAAGGAATGGATCTCGACGGACACATGGAAGGTGATAGAGGAGGGAGAGGAAGATGGTGATGGTGAAGCAGAAGGCAAACCAATGAGAGGATGAACAACGAAAAGAGGAACTGAGTACAGTACAACCTATAAAACACTAGACTGGACAAAGAAGTGAAGAATAGTGCACGCAAAGATAAAAAGACACTTCTACGACACACCTGCAAGTGAAGCAGAACAAGGTGCAGGCTGCATGCAGGAGAGACTTGACAACACTATATGAAATAACCAGGTTACTATCTGGGAGAGAAGAGATCAACACAGGTGAAACCGACGAGAGATAGTGAAGGAAAGCTAGTTAACAAAGAGAGGGGAGAAACGAAGTAAACGGTGGGCTGTCCACTTCAAAGAGCTACTGAATCGACCACCACTTGCAACTCGTCAAGAAATGCCAGCAACAGCCGAGCCACAGAACTATCAGTGAACACAAGCCCTCCTACTAAAGCAGAAGTGAAGTTGTGAACGCCATAAAGTAGCTGAAATGAGGGAAAGTAGTAGGACCAAATGGAATTCCTCCAGAAGCACTGAAAACAACCGCAGAGACATCAGCAGCGGACAGGCTCACACCACTATTGCAGAAGGTTTGGAAGGAAGAAAGGAAGGAAAGGTACCTGCTGACTGATTGGAAGAAGGACTACCTTGTCAAACTTTCAAAGAAGGGTGATCTAAGTGTTTGCAAGAACTGGCGAAGAATCATGCTTGTATCCCTGTCGATCCCAAGCAATATATTAAACCGCATCATTCTGGAGAGACTAAAGAATGGGGTGGATTGAAAATTATGACCGGAACAGGCTGGATTCAGCAAGTACCAAATCATGTATGGATGAAATTGCCACGCTACGCTACACCTCATCATAGAACGGAGCATAGAATGGCAGTCAACTGTCTACATCAACTCCATGGATTTTGAAAAGACCTTCGACAGCGTCGACCGAGAAGTAATTTGGCAGCTGCTTCAACACTATGGAGTACCACAAACCTTTATCGACCTCATTCAAGATCTGTAGGGGAAAACTAACAAGTTGGCAGAAGAGGCAAGGCAGTGAAGGAAGACGGGACTTCCTTCAGGTGAATGTAGAGAAGACAGAGGTGATGAAGATACCCACCCAATGACGACGACGATAAGAACAGGCAGCAATCACCATGAAGGGGAGAAACCTAAAGGAAGTAGTCTGTTTCGCCTACCTAGACAGGCAGCACGGTTTCAACTACAGGTAGTGGCGGCAGAGATGAGGACGTCAAAGCCAGGATTGGAAAGACAGAAAGACAGGATAAAGTGTGAGCAAGATCCGGGTTTTCAACACTAAGTCAATCAAGTAAGTCAGTGCTTCTATGTGGTAGTTGAGAGAGATTTGGTGGCGCGTTACGAAAAGCATTTCCAAGAAACTACAGATATGCATCAACAGCTGCGGCCTACGCTCAATCGATACTGAAGATCAGATAGATGGTCAGAACAATGAGAATAAGCGACAAGGAACTCACTGTGGCTGGCAACGAAGCAAGAAGCCATTGCCCAACAAGTATGCAGAAGAAAGTGGAGATGGATTGGGCATGGGGTGAGAAGACGGATTGGGGACATCGCGTGGCAGGCCAGGCTGTTGAGTGTAATCGAAATGGGAAACGATGAGCTGGGCGTCTGAGGTGATGGTGACATGGAGGTGATGGTGTGATGAAGAAATGAGAGCTTGTGAGCAGTTTTTGGAGTGAGGTTCAAAAGAGTGTAGAGTGCAGAGTGAAATGGTTATGTGCTACTGAAGCCCTATATTCCACTAGGAACCCAGGGAAAAAATAATGGTAATCTTCAAGGTGGGCCAATGCTGTGATGTGTATGTATGTGCACATGTGATTGGTTGTGGATGTGAGAGAGAGAAAATGCCATAGATGGTAAATTGGGTTTGTTTGTGTGTATGTACCTTTTTGCTCTGATTATTGTTTATGACCTGTTATTTTGGATATGCCACCTCGCCTGGTTAACTATTTAACTAGTTACTAGCCGGTCCTAAGCCCGGGTAAAGAGGGATGGTTGGGCATAGGGCTAGCAACCCTACCCCATAAAACAAATCTAACCGCTAAAGAAACTTCAAAGCACAAACGAAATATAAAAAATAATAACAAAATTATTCCTCGCTGGAATCGGAGAGGCGAAATGATGCCAGTTGGTGAAAGCCTTCGGGAAGCCAATTGGTAGGCCGATGTGTCTTCTCTTCTCTCGATGAAAGCGAAAGTAGACGTGGGGACATGGAATGTCCGAACAATGTTTGAAGCTGACTGGTAAGGCTGCCCAGATTGCAAATGAGATGAAGAGGTATCACATTGAAGTGTTTGGAATTTGTGAAAGTAGATTGAATGTAAGTGGACTGTTCCAACTGTCAACTGGAGAGTCAATAATCTACTTGGATATTGTCACCCAGACGTAAGACCACGAGCACACTGAGTTTTGGAGTGGCTATCATGATGTCGCCAGGAACATCGAAGGCTCTCTCTCTCATGCAATGGGAAGCAATCTCCTCCTGCAGGATCAGGATCATGACAGCAAGGTTCAACTTGAAAGGAAGGAAAGTTACAATCATGGAGTGCTACGCTACACACCTACAAATAATGAAGATGAGGAGAAGAAGAAGAAGGAATTCTACAGACAACTGCAATTAGTACTGGACAAGACCCCACCCCAGATGGCGACAGTGACATCAAAGTTCTAATAGTTGGGGTGACATGAATGCCAAACTGCGTGGAGCGGACAACACAGGAAGAGAACTGATCATGGGTGGAGAAGCACTTGATGAAATGAACGATAATGGAGAATTGTTTGTAGACTTCTGTGCATCTAACGATTTGGTGATTGTAGGCGCTGTGTGCAAAGACAAGGATATCCACGCAGCTGTATTGATTTCACCAGACGCCAGGAGAGACTAAAAATCAGATCGACTTCATTTCAATGTGAAGATAGTAGAGATTCAGCCAGCGTACTTGCTACAAAGTCAGGAAGAGAAGCATATATAGGTTCACACCACTGTCTAGTGCAAGGCACCTTGCAAATCAAGTTAAAAGTCTTTAAGGAAGCTGTTGATAGACCGCAGTTCACGTACAACAGTCGAAACTGAAGGACGAAACTGTAAAGGAATTCTTCACGTCAGCCATCAAGACAAAATGGGAGATATCGAGGAACATCCCTGAAGAAACCTGTGTTGAAGAACACTGGAAGTCTTTGAAAGAGATATGGGAAGAAACCTGCACAACCGTATTAGGAAGGAAGAGGAAAGAAGATAAGGAATGGATCTCAATGGATACATGGAAGCTGATAGAAGAGAGGAAGATGGTGAAGCATAAGATAAGCCAGTGCAAGGATGCACAACGACATGAAGAACTGAGTACTGTGTATAAAACACTAGACAAAGAAGTGAAGAGTGCACGAAAAGACAAAAGACACTTTTACGAAACACTGGCAAGTGAAGCAGAACAGGCTGCTGGTAAGAGATACAGAGACCTGACGACATTGTATCAAATAACCAGGTTGCTATCTGGGAGAAGATCAACGCAGACGAAACCAATGAGAGATGATGATGGAAAGCTAGTTACCAAAGAAGAGAAACAAAGGAAACGATGGGCCGACTACTTCAAGAAGCTCTTGAATCGACGACCACCTGCACTTCGTCCAGAAATACCACCTTCAGCACAGCCACAGAACGACAAGTGAACATAAATCCTCCAACGAAAATGGAAGTTTTGAACGCCATAAAGCTACTGAAATGCGGGAAAGCAGCAGGACCAGATGGGATCCCGCCAGAAGCACTGAGAACAGACGCAGAGACATCAGCAGCGGACACGCTCACACCACTATTACAGAAGGTGTGGAAGGAAGAGAAGGTACCTGCCCATTGATTGGAAGAAAGGGCTATCTTGTCAAACTCATGAAGAAGGGCGACCTAAGTCTGCAAGAATTGGCGCGGAACAACTCTCCTGTCCACCCAAAGCAGGCAAAATATTATGCCGCATCATTCTAGAGAGACTAAAGGATGCACTGGATTCAACTGGATTACGACCGGAACAGTTTGCTGGCTGGCTGGCTTCAGGAAGTACAAATCATGTGCGGACTAAATTGCAGCACTACACTACGCATCATCATAGAACAGAGTATAGAATGGCAGTCAACTCTACACCTCAACTTTATCGACTTTGAGAAGGCCTTTGACAGCGTCGACTGAGAGGTAATTTGGAAACTGCTTCAATACTACGGAGTACCGCAAACCTTTATCAGCCTCATTCAACAACTATATGAAGATGCCACATGCCAAGTAATTCACAATGGGAAGCTCAGTGATGCTTTTGAAGTGAAGACAGGAAGGAGTAAAACAAGGCTGCCTACTATCACCCATGATCTTCCTGATTGTGGTTGACTGGATCATGCAGCAAACAGTGAGGAGCGGGAAGAGGGGGTTGTGCTGTACCGCGGAGAAGAACCTAGAAGATCTGGTTTTCGCCGATGACTTCTGTCTGATGTCACATAAACTTGAAGATCTACAGGCAAAAACTAACAGGTTGGCAGAGGAGGCGAGGCAGCGAAGACGGGACTTCAAGTGAATATAGAGAAGACAGAGGTTATGAAGATACCACACCACCAACAACAACAAACTCCAATCATCATCAACAGGGGAAACTTAAAGGAAGTAGCCTCCTTCACCTATCTAGGAAGCACTGTCTCAACTACAGGTAGCGGCACAGACGAGGATGTCAAAGTCAGAATCGGAAAAGCAAGACAGGCGTTCATTAGCCTGAAACCAGTGTGGAGATCTTCTGCACTAAGCATGTGGAACAACATCCGGATTTTCAACACCAACGTCAAGTCAGTGCTACTGTATGGTTCAGAGACTTGACGCGTCACGAAAGGGATTTCCAATAAACTACAGACATTTATCAACAATTGCTTACACTCGCTACTGAAGATCAGATGGCCAGAATAATGAGAATAAGCAAGAAGGAGCTCTGGGAACGAACCAACCAAGAACCTATCACCCGACAAATTTGCACTGGAAGGAAGTGGAGATGGATTGGGCATTCACTGAGAAGGCCGACTGGGGACATCACGCGTCAGGCCAGTCCCTCGAGTGGAATCCCCATGGGAAGCGACGAGTTTGGGGTTGGAGGGTGACATGGAGGAGATCGTGCGAGGAGGAAATGAGAGGTTGTGGGCTGTCGTGGAACCAGGTTCAAAAGATTTCAGAGAACAGTGTTTACTGTAGATGTGCTACTAAATCCCTATGTTCCATTAGGAATCCAAGGGACTAATAAGTAAAATAAATAATTTGGGATATACTGTCCAAATTGCTTTGATAATTAGGCCTTCGTTTATTTTGAGTGCATAAGGATTCAGTATAATGTGAAATGCCTCAGCTATCCTTGCTTTGTAGTTTGAATATTTTCAATATAAGTTTTGTGACTGTAATAGATGGCATGAACAGCGATTACCGACTTGATTTGTAAATTCTCTAGTTCTACAGGATTATTTGGCGGTCTTTTTGTGTTATTTTGCCCGTTCCTTAGCACGAATGAGTTTCTCACGGGATAATTCTCGAATATGATAGGTATCACAATCAAATCAGCCTAATTCGTAGACACGATTCTGTGTGAAGGTAAAAAAATTATGTCTTTCAAGCGGACGAAAGCATTCCTGAGACTGTTGGTTGTCTTGTAGAAGGCTTTAATTCGGTGCTTTCTTAAAATCCCTTGTAGTTTTTCAGTTATACCTTGGTGGAATGGTAGAACTACTGTGTTGATCTTTCTACCTCATTGGGATTCTACAAATATATTTCACTTATAATTCTAATAATAGTTATCTAGTGAACTTTGGGTGAATAAACTTTAATTTTCTATGGTAAAACACTTGTTAAAAAACGGTGTTGTCAGGTAACAGTTAAAGTTATTTATGGTTGCACTGACTGAAAAATATTTATCGTTCTATCTTTCTTTTTCATTCATTCCTTCTAGCATCCTTTGCTGACTGAAGTCAGTGCATCTTCTTCAAGTTCAAGTGCGGTGAAAAGTTCCAGAGGTTAGTCGATAAAATTAATACTTTTGATTAGGTTCGCTTGTTACAATCGATTGTTTTGTTTCTTTCCACCTCGTCTAGTCATACTGTTAAAAAAAGATCATTCCCTTTCGGTTGAATGTAGTACATATAATTCGGTTACTCGATGACATGGTAGTATATTTGTATGATACCTGTCGATTTCTCCATAATAGAAGGGGAGCTCATAAAATATGCCGTACTGAAGAGTCTTAGAATGAAGAGGAAACGGGTTCAGTGCTTCCTGATTTTATATGTTCAATTATTTATTGACATGCGCTATGAAAAATCTTTCCAAGTGATTTTGTTTGTGGTTACTTGTGGTTTAAAAATCAAAATCTAACTGTTTTCAATTTGGAAATGATTTACGAATTGCACGGTCCACGTTGACATTTCGCATACCTTATTTTTCTAGCTGCTCAACTGTGGTGCTAGTCAACAGGGTTCCTGTTGGAAACCATCCAGCCAAGATCACAGTGTGTGATCTCTGACACAGTGCTATGAACTGGCGAAATGTACTACTAGTGAAGGACTTGAGTAGTTGGAAATTACTCAAGATCATCTGTAGCTTTCGACAAATTCAGCTTATAGTGCGGTTGAAAAACCACTCAGTTGTAAGAAATATCAACGTGCACTGTACAATGTGTAAATCATTTGCAAATTGATCATCCTATCGTAGGTATACTGGTTAAGCATGCATGTTAGCTACCCAGATTTAGATGATCTGACTAAATGAGCTGAATTTCTCTGGGTACACACGAGTGATGAGCTCCTCCCCAAATGATTGATGCGACCGTCCGGTGTTTAGATCCCTCTGACCTAGCTGTCGAAATCTAAACAGCCTGAGTAGTTTCTAACTACTCGAGTTCTATAATGGTATACTTCCCTTTGTGTGACTAGCAATACAAATGACATTCGTAAAAATATCATACTTATCAGATTGCACTACTAATGCCGTTGAGGCTGAGTATTGGTTTTTATCTTATATATGATAATCATATAGTAGAGCGGTGGCTGAGTGGTTTAGGGAGATGACTGTTAACCAGATGGGTCAGGGGTACTAACCCCACCCCACCTACTGAGGTTTGGGCAGCCAGGTATTATCACTAACTCTTACACAATAAATATGGCTCATTGCCCACTGCGGATGTGTGCACAAGGTGACTAAGTGCATTCCTTTTCGTATGATAATTCTCATTATTTAGACTGATACATTGGAATTCTTAAACTTGTTGTTTGTTAATTCATCAATCACTGTTGTTTGTATTTTGAATTTCTTTGTCAGTGTATCATTACATTATACCGTTTGCCTTAACGCAAACTGAGTTCCTATGACAACTTATACATGTGTGTATTCTCTGAACAGAAATCACGAATAGCCTAGTAACGAGGACTTAAATAATCGCGTATTATCCATGATATATAGTGAACATTGTGTCTTCAGTCATTTTTTCCACTCGTTTTTCTAAAATCATTTATATATAATTGTCGATGTTTCTTTAGGTGACTGTATTATGCACACTCACAAATTAGTTGTTGCTCTAGTGTGTATGTGTGTTCTTTTTTCTACCAACAGTCACTGTTTTCCGCACTGCAGAAAAGAGTAAAAAGGAACATTTCACAAATCCATTTTCAAGCAGTTAGTAAATATCATTCACATTGACACTTTGTTACTTCTAAATTCGCAGTAGCGTTTCATAAACTGAACTCTCTATCGATGCTAAATCCTTTTGTTATATATACATCCTGCTGTTAATGCGGTTTGGGCACTAAGGTAACTAATTTTAGTGTGATTTGCAAAAGTATCACTTATTCACAGTTGTTTGTTCTAATTATGTGAGATAAAAAAGAAAATGTATTTTTTTTATTGAGTGTATTTATCAGCCTCCTTAATTTGTTTTATGTACTTTACTCTATGCAGTTAGTATTTTAAAATTAGGCGTTTGTACTACTCATTCATTTATTTTGTACTTGTTGTTTTTGGCTTTCTACATCCAGATACTTCAGCATCGCATTCACCTGCATCTGCTGTCACTGGACAGAAATTGAGGAGTAAACAAACTACAACGGTTAGACAACGTCTGGCTAAACGTTTAGGTATTTAATTCAATTTTTTGTTCATTTCAAGGATGCAACATCTCTGTCTATTTACCAATCTGTCTATGCATCTTATAATAATAATAATAATAATAATAATAATAATAATAATAATAATAATGTGTTTGGAGTGTATGAGTTCCCTTCCGCCTCCCCTTTTTCGTAATTCGTCTGTTGCGTCCTTCGTTTACGATAATTTTTGAGTATTTTATTGAATCTTTCTTTACACGTTTACCTTATTTCGTTTAATATACACATATTTATTGCCTTAGGAATTATATTGTTTTTGTTGTAACACGTGGCACGACTTAACGACTGTTACTAATTTTATATTATTATTATTAGTAGTAGTAGTATTGTTGGTATAAGAAAAAATGCAGCATATCTGTATACACACACACACACTTTTGAGTGTAGTAATATTTTGTTATCAATCCTTAATAGTTGTTTTAAATTGTTCTATTTTCGATATTTAACAGTAGTACTGAAGATGATGACAATAATAGTAATAATAATGGATCAGTTGGTTTCAGTTTTACATCGCCTTTTTTTAAAGTTAAACTTTTTTAAACAAAATATATAGCATTTAAGTCTTTTCCATATTAATAATGTTAGTTTTGTTCATGTGTTATTGTACTTTCTGGTGTGTTCACCTAGGGAACCTCGTTCAATCCTGTATCTCTTTTTTTCTTTAAACGTTTATTCATTAGTTTTTATATTATTCTGTATCTTCTTGTTCTTGTTTTGAAACAATCACACCAAAATCTACGTCTGCCGATTTTAGCGTATTGGTAATTGAGTGCGCTCAAACACATTAACATCTGTTTGTTTAACTTTTCATTTTGTAATATTTTAGCTTATGCACTAATCTGTATTTATAATTCGTTTTCTTCTCTGATTATTTGTCTATTTGTAAACATGGTTTGCATACTTGTTTAGCATTATATTTATGCATCTAAGTCTACTTCTTATTTCATTCCTTTTCTTATTCGTATTTATTTTGTTTCTTCACGGGTTTGAGCCCCACTCCACCTACCGAGGTTTGGGCAGCCAGGTAGTATTGCTAGCCCTCACACAAATGTGGCTAGATGCCTACTGCACTGAGGTGCACAACGTAGTTGAGTGCGTTTCATTTCCACTCATTTCTCATTTCATTTCTTTGTCTATTAATTTCTTCGTTTAAAAGTTTTTATTAATATAAACTTGAGTATATATTTCTCATTTTTGTTTATCTTCTTGGTGTGAAGGTTACTGATGGATTCTCGGATATTATTCAGTTTATACTGTCAGTTAGGCATTATGTGACGAGTTATTCCTACTTGTTGTAGTTGTTATAACAGCAGAAAATTAGATAAATGCCTGCTTCTTTGGTGTTTTATGAGCTGGTGTGGTTAAATTGCGAAGCTTTTATTGTCAATCTAAAAGAAAACCGACGAAAAAAGTGAGCTGTAAGAATTTTCCTACATGTCTTAGTAGCCTGCCCTAATGACCTTGGGCTTGATTGGTTATCTCTGGTACATTGTCATTATCTGCTCACGTACTTCTCTTCATTCTGTGCTGTTATCTGTCAGTGTTACTTGCTATCACTAATAGATTTGTGTTGGTTATTTGGTCATGTGAATATCCACCCATGTTATCCTGGAAAGATAGGCTGACTAAATTAGTCCTGAAGACATATTACGTCGATCGAGGTTCACATGTGTGACGATTAAAAGGAAGTCAGCATTGAAATCCAGGTTTCATATGGCGTTCAATTTTAAACTGCGTATAGATTTTCCTGTTGCCACAATGTTGCTACTTGTAATTGCCATATGAAATAGTCATTTCTATGCTTTAAGTGTTCACTATTGTGAGAAGAAAAGAGATCTTCATATTTGATGATTTTAGTTGAGTACAAGCAGAATGATTCCCAGCGCAACAACATATGTATCAGTTTAGGGTGGAGTAAGTATTTGAAGGCAGAATTCATGACAATTTCTTCGTACTCATTGTCATGAATTCTATTTCAGTGCATACGTACCTCAGCATTTCTATTTGAAGTTGACGAATGCTTTATACACACATGATACTATCCAACTACTTCATCGGCATCATGCACTTAAATATCGTAACTGGTGTTCAGTGCTTCTAGTGAGTCCAGAAAATACAATGTGGATAACTTTCCGGCAGGGGGATGCAGTCACTTAGATTCTCCTGTTATTTCTGATGTAATTAGCCAGGATGAAGCCGAATAGGTTGTTCCATGTGCCAGCATTCTTCGTTGTCGTTGTATCAGGTTTCGTATTCTGTATACAACAGTATTATGTATTGGATAGAATAGGTAAATGTTATGAGCTTTCAATAAAGTGGTAATGAATTACTACCATTCGGTGTTACTATGCTTAATGAACTCAAACTAACCGTACCTTATTGAATTTCAGTCATTAGCTATCAATTAATGACCTTCAGAATTCTACCTCTATATAGTTTATGCAAGTTAGTTATCTTTTTAGAGCATACTTCTTGGTCGTCAATCTAACTATATCTTCATTCAGTGTAAGGAGATATGTTATGAAGACGAAGTGATTGGAGTAAAATTCGTTTCTTACAATTGCGAAAACAGCCTAGTGAAACACTACCAACAACAAGAACAATTTTTATCATTGTGGGATCTAAGAGCATGGAAAACTGATTTATCAGTATAACGAGTTAGTCTTGGTACAGTTCAGCGACAGAAATTTCTGGACGGTCATAATGGCAACGAAACTCTTGACAGGCAGTAAAATCCAGGAGATTAGCTGATCTATTGACTTTAAAGTGAACATATTCACAATAATGCTATGCAACAGACTTCTCTAGTACTTCATCTAACAGTGAATACACCTCCTTGATAATGCTGCATACCTTAACGTGAACAGTATGAAAAACGCACTGCCATTGGTCCGCAATTTTTTCAAATGTTTATTCCTTTGCACCACAATATCTAATTCTGATGGCGTAAGTCTATATTGCTGTGAATGATAACACTTGAATAGATATTCACTTGGATTACATGATTATATGAGAAACTTACAGATTCTCGAAATCGTCAGTGTGGGTTCTTTCGGTCTCTGAAGCTATAAGCATAAGAATTTATGGTAAAATAGACGTTTATCTAGCGTAACGGGGCACTGCGAAGACGAATCAAACATGTCAACTGCTTGTAACGGAAATTTGGAATTTCGCGCGACTTCGGTGCCACTAATGGTGAAAGAAGAACTTATGACTGAAAACGACCTAAACTTTAACACTGTATATGCTGAAAAGTGATATTTTCTTTTTCAGTTCATAACTTGTGTAGTCTGATGTTTTTAATCGAATTTAATGAGCTCCCTTTCGTACCATTCAGGCCCCGTAAAATCTTGTAGATTTTCCAACATATATCAATGTGATGATGCCTGTAAACTGGCTTCTATCATGTTAAATTACTAATATGAGAATAAGATATTTATTTATGGCTTTGTTTCATTTTGTAAATATGTTTTGTTTTTATTTACTATGTAGAAAATGAATATTACCTTTTGGTGTTCATCATTTTCACTTTTAATGTAAGTATACTTGATGTGATCATGAGCTGTGGATTTTTACTGTCTTGAACATTCCATACCACACATATCCACTCCACCAACGCTTCATTATCGTAAATTTTTTTCAATACATCATGTGATTCTTAGTCGGTAATATTTATCAGTAAAACGTGTAGCAGTCAATAAAATTGGAAATGTTTCTTTATAAAAATGATTCTAACTAAAAACGATTCACATATATGTCGTGTCAGTTTTATTCAAAGAAACTTATTTTCGTTACTTACGTCCTCTGTGACAAAAAATAGTGTTTATATCTTGTTTGAATGAATAAAAGTGTTTTTCGTTGATGTGAAACATTATACATCCACACACCGAAAGACATAAACAGAACTGATGAAATATTGAAATAGAATCCTAAAATTTTCATGGAGTACAAACTTTTTTAGCGTATGAAAAGTTCTTTAGGTGTTTACTTCTTAGTTTAGTATTGTTTAAAAGCATTTCTAGGATTGCATTCATATAACATTTTACAAAAACAGTGATCACTATTTTTAGGGACTTTATATCTATCAAAGTTCACCGCGATGAAGAGTCTTTTCATCTTGTGGCTACATTACAAAATGACCGATGGGGTTTGGTCATCACTCAGAAGCAGGCAACATACAGTTGCTTGTTCTCTATTGGCCAATCAATAGATTTCATATTTGTTATGTACTGCATTTTAGTACATGTGGTCAAACAATAAATATAGCACTAGGATTATTTAGCCTGACAACATTGTACCAAGTAATTGGATTCTTCTGCTAGCCACAACCAAGCAAATTACCGTAATTAACATTCAGGCAATATCGAGGCATCCACATAGGAGTCCATATGCCAATAGAGGTCGAACAATTCGTTCCAATGAAACAACGGAGCACTACAAGTATATTAATAAATAGTAAGGATTTTCCAACAACTTGTAAGTGTTTCAAAATGCATACCTTCGCTATTGCTATTATCTGTCAGTATATTCTGTGGGTTTTCAATCACGTCATTACTACATCTTTCTCAACAGCGGTTAGACTGTGGTTCAGTATGAGGATAAAAGTTGATTCATACTATCAGAGCTTTGATATTTATTTGTATACCGATTATTTCTCACTGTTGGGCTTTGCACAAATTTGTACTTACTAGCTCAGAGGTTGGTATATAAAGTGTAAAAGCATAATACAGTCTGAATTTAAGGATTTTATTAGTTCTCATTTGATTCAACTCTTAGTTTTTGTTAATATTCGGTCTTAGAGTCAAATTATACCTAAATCAGATTTTCATAGCGTATTATTAAGGCTCTGATTTAGCGGAAGGTGTACAGTTTTTCATGAAACGCCGTCATTTAAAGCTTCTGATAAGCTTTTCTCACGCTATTGGGCATGGAAATAGAAATATTAATAAAGATAGGGATATGAGTGTGTTCTTATGACAGGATAGAATGAAGTAGCGCTTTCTGGTACTACTGCACTTCTTTTTGGAGTAAACTTCATTTCAAAATTGGATGCCTACTTTACTTTCAGCCGCTAGGTGATAAACCTCAAACTGCATTACTGTATAGTGCTCATTAGGAAAATACTTTGAGATGGATATCCCGAAGTTCTAATGAAAAACCGTAACCTGTGGGTTCAGACTGCCAGAATTGAAGCGGATGCTGCCTGAAGACCTTGGTGGACAGTTGCATTATATCGCAAATTGACAGAAGTACGAAACTGTGGACCATTGAACTCCGACGCAGTGGTTGGATAGCTAACTTGTTTGCCACCAGATATGGAGGTCTTGAGTTTGATCTCTGGTGGGGTCGTGGGTTTGTACTGCTGAAGAGTCCTATGCTAAGAAGAAACAGGTGTCCATTGCTACCAGGCTTTCAATGATTCCCCAACTGATCTCAGTCCGTGGTGAGTACTGCCTTAAAAATGATAAACATTCCTCACACAGCGGTAACCATCACAAGAAGAGCTTACTCTGCCTTCACATTCTTAAGAATCCTGATCA